CAAACGACACCGTCCAACAGAGGACAAAAGATTCAGGAACTGCAGACTATATAACTGGAAGTTCCAACAGGATTGGCAGCCCTGTGGACAATAGTACAGCAGGAACGCTTCTTCAGCGTGGCCGAAACTAAGGCGCTGAAGAGGTGAGCGAGAGCTGCTGTACATCACAGTATCTCCAACAGGTACTGGGCTAATAAACGGTTCTTTCCCCCAAGCCCTGAGGTAAAACCTGGGGCTGTTTACTATGGCTCCAAAGGTCAAAATTAATAGCATGAATTGAGGCTTCTTCTTGCTCTTTGAAACTCCTTGTCAAGTGGCACAGCCAGCTGGGCACACAACTCTGATATGCAGATCATGACGTTTGTGAACAGATAAAATGAATTACAATGAGCACAGCCTATCCTATTTCAAATCTCTAATGGGCAGGAAGGTCTCTCTCTGTTTTACCCAAACACCGTCCAAATGCCTCCTCTTATAGTCCGTTTGAGACCATTTAAGCACCTTAAGAATCTGTATCTCATTAGCAAACAGCTCTGGACGCCAACTCAAAGTCTGTAAAATTACAATTATTCTAAGGACAAGGCAGGGGAGTAACCATGTAACAAAAATAATATCAGCTACCAGTAGGTGAAACATTCAAATATGTTATTTCATTTTTATCACCACTAGCCCAATAAATACTGGTATTTCCATTTCAAAGATGAGGAAATGGAGGTATGGGGAGGTTAAGTCATTTGCCCAGGTAAAGCCAAGATTCTTACCTGGGTCTGCCTCATACTAATCTCCACTAATATGAGATTAAGAACTTAAAGAAAGAATAAATGGAAATGGTGATACATTACCAAACCACCGCCCCAAATAGAGAAAAGGTCAGGAAAGTTGGAGAAAACTCAAAACTGCCACAAGACATTCAAAAACTACAACCGGTGACTTGTGCCTCATACAGAGATGGAGCAACTGATAAGTTCTAGTTATGGTTTTCTGAGGCCATAATGGTTAGAAACGCTATCCTGCACAATCGACAAATCTCTCATTTCAGGAAAGCTGCCTACAGCACTAGCTCGTTACCATTCTCTGACTGCGTCCTTGACAGCAATACCACTGCCTCGATCAGAACACCAATCACACCATCTGCTGTTTGAGCAGCAGCAATTCTTACCACCCATACCAAGTATTACTACTTTAATAGCAACACCCCAATACCAGCAACTGAAACAACCAAACCACCACTGCCAGCTGTCCAGCTACACGTACCCCCAGCCAACAACGCCTCACATTTGTTAATCGCTGCGCGCCGGGCTCTGTGCTAAACCCATCAACCTCTTCATCACCTGCAGCAGCTCTCCAAAACTAAGAGAAGTCCAGTGTTCTACCTCCCACAAGGAATCGTGCTCACAGCATCAAAGCACAGAGCTCATGCCAATTATAAAATGGGATTTCCTATTAAGCAAATTACAGAGAAGCAGTCATAAAGCCATATGCATTTAGGGCAATAGTTCTTAACCCCAGCTGCATACTGGAAGTCACCTGGGAGCTTTAAAATAATGCCAATGCCTAGGCCTCATCCCAGACCAATTAAATCATAATCTTAGGAAGTGGGGTCCAGCATGGATTTATTTTTTAAAGCTTCTCAGGTGATTCCAAAGTGCAGCCAGGGTCGAAAACCCCCAAATGTAAGTATTTCTGGAGTGGTATTTCTGAAAAGCCATTAACCCACATATCTATTAGGTGGCACAAACACCACAAAGACTCCCTCTCCCATCCACTGCACCTGCCATCTGGGCTGTATTAAAATGATACATCAATAAAATGATCTCTTAAAATCACGGTCCTATTATTTCTTTGTTTACAGCCATGAAACACTAAACAAGAGGGTACCTTGAGGTCACTCGCAGCCCCCCAGCGACCCCCAGGCCTGGCGCTGAGAACCAGAGCTGTGTAATGCTCTAGCAATGAAGAGGCAGTTAAGGGGCCCTCCCTCTCGTGCAGGTGAGTGTGTGGTTCTGTGGCCCTGGCCATGCCCAAGCAGGAAGCAGCCTCAGCTCAATAACCTGACAGGAGGAAACCTTCACAGATCAGGCATGATTATCAAACTCTTTGTGCTCTTAAAGCAGAGTAATTATAGGCATGTGAAAAAAGGAAAGCACTCCCCGAGGAACTCTTCCTCACACACTTCCCAAGAGGCACCAGGGCCATTAAAAATTCCATGATGAAGAGGAAAAACAGCCTGGGAACAGCCAGGAGGCAATACAGCAAATTAATACACCAGCCCTCCTTGGGGAAAGCTGTGATAAAACAGGAAACACTTCTCTCTTCGCAAAATAAAATTATACCACTAATGATAACATAGTCACCACACACACACAAATCGTTCTAATGATGGGTGTGAAATTCCCAATGCTGCCCAGATGCTTTGAAAGAAATCTTTTCCTACTACAGATAAAACGGAACAAGAAAAAGTAAAATTTCCATTCGAAACAGTTTTTAATACAGTCATTCACCGGCCTGTTCCCTACCACCGCCGCTCTGTAACATTCTCCTTCCGAGGTGCCAGGTTTGGGTAAACGGTCCACTCTTCACAAAGCCCCCCACCATGCAGTTCTCAATCCACTCTCATCAGTGGGCCAAGCCAAGGCTAGACTGCTCCTTCTCTACTTGCCCCTTGCCGGGCAGGGACCCCGCTATTTCACAGGAATGAGAGGAGCCCCAGGAGCTCATTACTCCATCAACCACCTTTTCTAAAAACGGCACAGAGGTCACTTGTGCTGGCCATTTCCCACAGATGAGCGGCTGCCAAACTATTGATTGTGCAGCCTCATGAGTGAAAGATCTAAGCAAACATGCCTTATGTGACACACACACATAAAACAAGAATATGTGCTGCTAGACTAATATACGTACAATTTAAAACAAAAAAAAAATTTAAGGATAAGAAAATAAATAAATGTAAGTTTCAAAATGTTCTCCCCCTACCACACAGAGAGCCTCCATGTGGCAACCCACTCTGTACCCACTACCCTGGAAAGGATGTCTGGGAAGACAAGCATACGCTGTAGGCGTCCAATTCTCTCGCCTCGCTCTTGGTGAAGTCTAAAGCAATAAGCAGTATTTGCCTAGAGTTGAGGGCACCAGAAGCACAGCCTAGGCTTCCCTGTGTTTCCAAGTCTAGCCACAAGCACTGCCAGCAAGAGAATGAAGATAATGATGTGGGTAATGAGATACACAAAGACACAAGAAGCTGACACCCACTCCAGCCAGGAAGCTTAAAGGCAACAGGAAACCTGGTAAAAGCCTGGCTACCAGTCTCAGCACAGCACAGCTCTCGGTGGCAGAGGTAAAGGAAGGCAGGCAAATAATCCCCTTTCAGCATCGGGCACGATACGGTGCTACTTACAGTCTTCCCAAAGGGGATACAGGGCCATTATTGTATTTGGTATTAAGACAAACGCTAGAGGACTGCTTTCCTATGGATTTAAATCTTGTGTCTTCCAAGATAGCTGAACACCACCTCCTCTAAGAAAGCCTCCTGGGCCTCTGAGTTAGGACCCCTCCTCTGCACTTCCTATCATTCTGGGGCACACCTTTGTGCCCTTATCACTCCATATTATAATTGTCAATTTCCACACCTGACTTTCCCCTGAGAATGTGAGCTCCTTAAGGGCAGTACCTAAACAAAGCCTGGCACATAGTAGGGAGTCAGCAAATGTTGAATTAATGAACAATGAATAAACCACATGCTACTGAAGAAAAGGCCTTACAGGAGTTTATGATCATCCCACAATTTTCGACTTTCCTAGTAACATCATTTGTGATGGGCTCTTTTCAAAAGACTTTCCTCATTAAAATACTACTCGAGTAGGTTTGGCAGCAGGTTACAGTGCAATTTATTGTTATAGCCCATAGTGGAAGTTCTAATTGTACCCATGAAAGAGTAACTTCTTTGTGTAGCCTGCACCCCAAATCTATGAACATTTCCATTTAAGAACATATTAGAAAGAAAAAAATCATCAGAACCTCAGGAAGAAATTCTTTGTGCCACCAGAAATAATGAAAGTTCTGTGGTTCAGCCTAGTAGCTGCTCTTTTGTACATAATAACCCTGCTAGGGGATGCTACAATTAAAACCATATTTACTTCACATGTCACCTAACAAGAGAATATATACTGAGAGGCACTAAATTTATTCTGCTATGTAGGTGCAGGATTCATTCTGACAAATATATACTAAATCCCTAGCAAGTGCCAGGCACTGTGTTAGGTGCTGGGGTGTGTAAGGAAACAAGACAAGGTCCCCGCACTTTCAAGTTTATATTCTAGTGAGAGAGATGGTGGGGAGAAAGTAAGGGAGGAAAAACCCAATAAACAAAGTCACTACAGACTATGATAAAAGCACTAAAGAAAAGCAATAGATAACAAGCAGCGTGGTAGACATGGCCCCTTTAGATAGGATGGTGTGAGAGTCCTCCCTGAGGAGGTGGCCCAAGCTGACATGAGGAGCCAACCATGGGAACTGCTCTAAGATGGCAGTCTGGGCAAAGGGACACGTGGGAAGGTTCAGAGGCAGGAAAGGGCTGCTATTTTTGAAAAACAAAATGGATTCCCTAGTGCAGCTGGATCTTTCCCCGGAGAGGAAGAAGAGGTTTATGAAAGGAGTTTGGACATGCAGGCAGAAGTCAGATTATGCAGGGTTTTGCAGGTCATGGCAAGGGCCATTCATAATGTGCTTTGAAGATGGGCTTGTAGCAGAAGAAATATGAAATATGAGGCAGAAGACTTAGGTCAAAGTGGAAACTTAAATCACATACTAGACACATGACCACAGGAAAGATACCTCGCCACTCTGCCTCAGCTTCTGCATCTGTAAAACGTGTAATGACCTCTAAAGGCTGCTGTGAAGATTAAATGGGATACTAAACACGAACATACTTTAAAGTTTAAAAAGTGTGGTAAGAAAGAAAGCTGGTATTGTCTGGGAGAAGACAGCCACCAGAAGACAATTACCTGGCAGAGCAGTGTGCAGGTGAGCACCTTCGGTGAGAGGCATCAGCAAGAACGTCCAGGGAATAAAGAGGAGAAAGGGGATTAAACTGCAAAAATAAAGAAGATTATTTTACTAAGGCTTATATGAAGCAGACCTGATCATCAAGGGTACCCTGCTATCTGATTACTTTTCCCCTTTGACTGTTCAACTCTTGCTATACCACAGACACCATTCAATAAAATTATACACATCCAATAGTGTACCCATGAATATAGCATACCTCATCTACCACACCTCAAAAAAAGACTATTCTTTGGTAAACAACAATTTTCAAAAACCTCTGATACACAATAATTACTTCAATGGCAAAAGATAGTATAGTTGACCCTTGAACAACGCCAGAGTTAGGGGTGCCAACCCCTGGCTCCTTCAAAAATCTGAGTACAACTTTTGACTCACAAAAATTTAGCTACTAATAGCCTACTGTTGACTAGAAGCCTTACTGATACATAAACAGTAGATTAACGCATATTTTGTATGTTATATGTATTATATACTGTTTTCCTACAAGAAAGTAAGCTAGAACAGAGAAAATGTTATTAAGAAAATCATAAAGAAAATATATTTATAGCCTTTAAAAAAAAATCTGTGTATAAGTGGACCCACACAGTTCAAGCCCGTGTTGTTCAAGGGTCAACTGTACGTTATAACTGACACAATGGGAACTTATGCCTACTGATTATCAGTTCTTGTTTCCAAGAAGACTAGCATGAAATCACCTTTCCATTTCCTTATCCTGGCGAATGTTTCCAGTGGTTAGCACATATCAGCAGCATAGTGTGATGGAAACAGAACTCGAGTAAGAATTAGAGTGCCTAACATTGAGTTCTGGTCTACCACTGAGTTGCCCTGTATTAAAAACTACATAATCCCTCTGAGCTTTACTACCCTCATCGGTGAAATGGGTGTCTCGCTGTCTTCCCTATTTTACAGGATTCTTGTGAGGGCTAAATGAAACACTGCTTTCAGTTTATAAAGTAATTTCAGTTTCTCTTCTATAAAACATTTGTCACCTCAAAACATGGTTGAGAGGATCAAAAGGGATACTATATATAAAAGTACCTCACTTTATGTTTGTTAGTTTTCTTTGGACTTTCTCCACAATAAATAAACCTCCCCAAATTTACTCTGAATGGTAATTTCAAAAGGAGTTAAAAGAATACAAACTACAGAACTGCTCTCGAAGTCAGAGGTTCCAGTCCCTGTTCTAAGAGCTCTATGACTTGAGACAATTTGTTCAAATCTCATCCGTAAATAACAGATCTGGACAAGGTGTGCTCCAAAGGTCCCCTTCTGCCTTTAGGTCCTCTGATGCAAACACAATTTAGCATCTAGCTTAGAGTTCCCCTAACTGCATCTCTCACAACCCCTTAATAACTTTTTCCTTATCTGCCCACCACCTGCACTATTTACTTCATATTTGTATATTAATTATTATTCAGCCTTGTCCTTACTATATTTCTATGAAACAAGTTTGATATGATTACATCTATTTTATAACTAATCACCAAGATAAGGCAACCTCTCTCCCTCCAAAAATCAAAAGCTTCAACATAAAGGAACACAGCCACTGTCAGTAATTTTAACACACCCTGCAAAGGACAAGATGTGCCAAAGGCTCCCTCAGGGGGTGGCGGGGCACAAGACTTAGAGGACAAGGCTCTATGGCCTCGACCCCACTTTCACCCAAAGCAACTCTACCCTCTTCTGCTTCGTATGTTTAGGCTTCAACACTGAACTTCTCAGCAGAGGATTCTGATGTTTAAACCATAGCAGGTGAGGTTCATTTGGATTTCTTACTGCAAAGTTCAAAACTAAAATAAAAATGGGATTCCTATGAAATGCATGTTACAAGTAATAAAGATCACAGCTGACCCTAACAAGAATAACAAGTTCTTATCAGTGGATATCGAATATTCTTGGAAAATGGTCCTCCAAGAAAGTCCAAATAACATAGGGAACAGGAACCTTACCTCATGTGCACAAGCAGAAATGTGAGGAAAATCAGAAGCCAACGCTTTATTCTTTCTAAAGAAAAGGAAACCAAACGATAAAATAAAGATGACAAAGAAAAAATCTTACCTGATTTCGTTCTCTTTTTCCAGCTGATGGTAACCAGAAACTAAAGAGAGGGAGAGAATAACAGGAAAGAAAACGGTAAAGGAAGTGGTAGGAAAATCAGAGAGGAGTAGAAGATAAAAAGATTTTGGGATAATGAAGTAAAGACAAAGAAAGAAACAGGAAAAAGATGGAATCAAAGGAGAAAAGAACAGAGATGTTAAATGTGTATGAACTTTATTGCAGAAAATAACTCTTCAAAGAAAAAAGCCTTGTAATGGAATGTAGAAGGCTAGCCACTCTAAAAATAAACCCAAGATTATGGTGTGACACCAATGCACTCTCAGCTGTGCAGCGACAACAGGATCCCCAACTCAACAAGGGCATAAAATACACGTACATCTTGCTTATTTTGTAAATTAAAAATTTGACCAAGCTAGACAGGTATAGGACCATAACTGGATATTGATGAGGACATGTACAGGCGACATCAAACAGCCAATCATGTTAGGGGTTGCAGCTGTCACGAGAAAGGGTGGAATGATTTTCCAATAGCTACACACAGGCTTTTTAGTGCACTCATCAGAGTAGTTAGGACAAAAAAATATTTCTCTATATAGAGGTCTAAAAATGGGAAGAGAATATAAGAGAATATAGAGGCAATCACTCATTTTGAAAAAAAAAAATTAAGAGACAGAAAGATGAGCTTAAGATATAATGTCCCTTCGCTCAAGAGTGCAAGCTCTGAGCAACAGCGGTTCAAGTCCTGGCCCGAGCTGAGCTGCCGTTGAGCTGCCAAGAGGTGGCAGGATGGCTCAGCTAAAAAACAAACAAACAAACAAAAAAACAGAAAAAAAGAAGATATAATGTCCTTATTGGAGGCTACTTTTATAATGCAGCACCTATACGTATAAGAAGCAAAGAAATGAAAACTAGTCTAGAAAGGAAAAAAAATCACTTTCATAGGTTTAGGGTATTAGCCATTTTAACTGTTATAAAGTACAAATCTTTAAGATCTCCTCTTTCAGCTCTAAAGTTGGATTTCTAGGTTCCTTCATAAAACTTCCCTCTACCTCCTTCTCCAAGGAACAGACTAGAAGAGCCAGTAAATCCAAAAGCACTTACTCTTTCTGCCGAGAGTCACTAATGATGTGGCCTATCCTCTCAGCACCCAAAGTACTTATGTTGGTCTCCTGAAAACACAAGGAAGAGAAGACAAGAGTGTCATCCAACCACAGAAACAAATACATAAAGCACTTCTGTCATCAAGCTCACACCTTCCCATCACTGCGCCAGCAACCTCAAAGGCACATGTCAAACGTCAATGTTAACATCCAACAGCAATTATATTTCTTTTATGAGAATCTATCTTACAAATATTTCTTGTTAGCCTAGACTTAAATTCCTCTAGTGTTCCAAAAAAGTCATTATAAACATTGTTTACTATATAGTATTTTAACATAGTAATACCGCCTATAGTTATTAAAGTATATATAATAGAAATGAAAACACTTTTAAAAACATCCAACAGCAGCCAATTTTTAACAGGCCAACACATCAAGCTCTCTGGAGTCACATGATTATAGCCCAATCAGCCTTCATAATGGACACTTACAAAGTGCTCACTGGTAACAAACGCCTAAATATCTGCTGACTAAATGTATTCACATCAAAAGACCTTTGTAACTTACAAAAATTGTCACCCTGTATTTTGTCTGTTAAATGTCATTTCTTAAAGTAAAAATAGAAGTCTGTATAAATTGGTTCTTAAATTGGGGGTTCTCAAGATTGTAATATGAAATCTTACCCATTAACCACAAGCAATTCAGAAACCAATCATCTCCCCAAAACTGGAAAATGGCAGAAGACGCTCACCCTTCATTTAACTTGAGTACATTTACAATGAATATCTATCGCAGTTCCTGGGGAAGTACGCCAACAGTACATGAGTAAGAGTTACGCATATATGAGTAAGTGTTAAGATGAGTGAGCATAAGTTATGGGCGTCAATGTCAAGAATGTCAAACCTGTTATTCACACACATTTGTTCCTGAGCAAATATTATTATCTGTACTCATCTAATGTGTGATTAGCTTAAACATTAGGATGCACATTTTAGCAGAACTGGCTATAGAAAAATTAATTGGAGGTCTGGTTCTGGGCAAGAGTGGTGCTAAATGAAAAGGTTTCGCATGTTGTATTCTTCATATTCTTCATCCCTTACGCAGATGCCTCCTAGTCACAGATGCAGCCATGGTAGTGGGGCCAAGGGAAAAGATGGGTGAAAAATGAGCTATTTGTTACAGCAGAAAAATTAAGTTAAAGTGCCGTAATGTTTAAATTTACAGTTTATTACTGTGTAAATTACAAGCAGTACTTTGCGTAATTAGCAGCTCGCTGGCAGGGAGCTGTGAATGAAACTCATTATTTATGATCACAATTTAGAAACAGAGAAGAGAGATGGGGGAGGGGGAAGAATGGGGGCAAAAGAGTGACCTCTGCTAGAAATGACAAATATCACTTTAAGGCGATGAAGATGAATTAAACAAGTAAATATTGTTCTATTCATCGAAAATCCTTAGAGACACCTAATAGGCCCTCGTTTCCTTCCTTAAAGGGGCCTTCCAGATGAACTGATTCACTTCCCTAGAAGTGGAAGACTCTTATAGGAGAGAAACAAAGTAAGGGAGGTGGTAGGGAGGATATTATCGGTCTAGCCTTACCAATAAAGAGGAAAAAAAAAAAGAAAAGAAAAAAAATCAAACCATCTTTCTGCTTCTCATTCCCATCCTGCTTCCCTCCACCCCACGTACTCACTCCTACCCTGCTGGCTGTCAAGAATAAGCACCCAGAATAGCAAAAGCACCTTTTTATTGTCAGTAAAAGGAGTGATCCAAAAGAAGGCATCATTCTTCCAATAATCAAATGTCTTTCTAATTAGAAATTGAATTTAAAGAGAAAAAGAATCTGAGTTCAGGGGCAGCTGGTTAGCTCAGTTGGTTAGAGAGCAGTGCTCATAACACCAAGGTTGCTGGTTCGATCCCCACATGGGCCACCAAGTTGCGCCCTCCACAACTAAATTAAATTGGAGCTAATGGGTCCTGGAAAAACACACTGTTCCCCAATAAAAATAAATAAATAAATAAAAAGAATCTGAGTTCATCTGGAAATCAACAGCCTCATTTCTTTGGCATGGCTAAAATGTCAAAAAGCTGTTCCTTGATTAAACTATAAAATAGTAGCTTCTCTGAGGGCAGCCAAACTGCGGGTCTGACCACTGTATCCCTGGCTTGGCACAGAGCCTGCCACAGAGTAGGCATTCTAAATGCTTATGGAGTCAACAAATAAATTAATGATCTAAAATGACTCTCCCTTCCTTACTCTTTGTCCACCACCATCTTCTCTGACTGAGTATAAGCCCCAATCTTAACCCATTTTCAGTCTCAAAGCTAAATTAAAAAGTAAATATAATAATTTTAAAATTTTAAAGAAAAAAGAGAAGTAAAATTTGGGTTCAATTCTATACTCTGACACTTCTATGTGGACATCAGACATTACTGAACTTTTTTGAACCCAAGTTTTCCTCAGCTGCTAAAGGGGAATATCACCTCTTTACAAGGTTTTTGGGAGGGTTAAATTAACTGAGTGCGTAGCACAGGCCCTGGCATAGGGAGAACTGAGTAAGTGGCAGATATTCCTCCCTCATGGCCAATGAGGGGTTTTGAAGTTTGAGAACAGGTTTTTATCCAGTTTTTTCTTTTTGATGAATTCTAAAATAAAAGACCAAAGTTAGGATAGAAGAAGCACTCATGAATTCAGAAGGAGTCATAAAGAAGCCAACAGTATTTTAACTTACATAATAATAATATCAGATTAATCAATAAAAGATACAAGAGACAGAGATCAAGCCTGTAGATTGACAGGCAATAGATACTCTCATGACAGTGTTTGCTTTGTCGGGACTTCTGTATGAAGTAAGCGTCATCTTTTATGTGTATATCCATTCATATCCTACATAATGTTCACTCTTGTGAACTCGCGAAATATTCCAATTGGCTTCATTAACTCCAGGGAGTTCTGCAGCACCTCTGATTATCAAGAGGGTACACAAATCCCACAGGAAGTGTTACCCTCCCTCTGAGCCTAGTGAATAGTGAGAGCTATCACCTTCCCAACAAGCCTTCTTCGCCCCTTTCTGAGGCATCGAGCTGCAGCTCCAGGCAGACGATTCAAGCGAGCATGGTACCCTAAAAAAAAGAAGTCCTCAGTCACTGAATGTGGAAGATACATTAACACCAGAGGCCTCCCCACCCCAAACTGCCCCTAGGATGTTACCAGACTGACCCTTAAACTAGTATCACTATGCTATTTATCGGGGATTTAATATTCCCATGTCTCTGTCACCAGCAGTATGATCTTCGGCATGTCATTTATCTTTGACCTAGGCGTCCTTGTCTATAAAAGAGGGATACCACTTACTGAGTCCTGCCTTATGGGGGTGCTTTGAAACCCAAAGAAATTGCACATGGAAGGTATTTTATAAATTGAAAAAAAAAGACACAAATATAAGGTACTATCAACAATTTCTAACTATAAGTTAAATGCTAGTTATTACTCAAAAACATTCTAATTTAAGAAATAATGGTAAAAATAGCATGTATAATATAACCCCATTTTTCTAACTGCTGGATGTGTGCTACACATAAAAAAGACAACTGGAAGAACCACACCAAAATGTTACCAGTGACACTGTCTCTGGGTGTGGGACTACAGGCCATTTTAAGTTTCTTCTTCTAATTCTTGCTTATTTGTGTGTATTTTACGTGGTCCATAAAGAACTTTTAGAAATGGTCATTAAATGTCCAATTAATGTTACGAAGGCAGCAAACAACATGCCTCAGCAAGACAGTAGTCTTTACCAAGAACCAATTTCTCTGAGAAGGCCTTTCAATTACCCAAATTAAACGAAACGGTATAGAAAAGGAGTTTCCAGCTCTTAGTGTAATTCTGATAACTAACTAACTGGCTTGGTATTGATCACTGGGAATGCTAGAATCATAAATTTATAGAACTAAAAGAAACCTCTGAAACAGTTTTGTTTAATGTCACAGTACCTTAAATGACCCTGACATCCCAAAGAAATGAAGGGACAGTCACAGAACAAGGTAGACAGCCCCAGGGAGTTGACCACATTTCCTTCTCCCTGTCCTAGGCTCTTTCCACCCCACCTTGCTACATCATAATGGAAGGAAAAGCAAAAGGAAGGGTTATCTATTTGTGTTGAAGTCCACAACAGTAGAATTATTAAAATAAAAATTTTAGGGGTGGTAGAAGAAGGTAAATGGGGTCAAATATATGGTAATGGAAGGAAAAAACTGACTCTGGGTGGTAACACACAATGTGATAGATGATGTATTACAGAATTGTACACTTGAAACCTATGTAATTTTACGAACCACTGTCAACCCCATAAATTTTTTTTTCTTTCTTTTTTTATCAGGGGAGAGCGCGAACGCAGTCCCCCACTACCACAAATTATGCAGTCGAGTTTCCCACATTTGGGGAAATCGCAGGGGTCAGCACATCCGGAGTGCAATGGATAAGCCTCGCCCTGGGAAAACCACCTTCGTGATCATGGTGTCTCCCCTGCCAGGTAAGTATAACCCCATAAATTTTAATAAAAAATTTTTTAAAGAATATTTTTACATCATCCATTCAAAAAATGCGATTATACCTTGATGTGAATGTTCTTACAGAAATCTGTTCTCTTCCAAGATCCAATACTTCAGGCTTCCAGTGAGCACTCAACAGCCCACCAGTTTCACAGCAGGATAAACGGCCATGACACGATTGCTGTACACTTCCTAAATCTGGCACAAGTGGCAACGACAAGCTGAAGGAATGCCCTGGTAATATATATATATCCCAAGAGTCTCCAAGGATTGATTTAAGGTAAGACTGGAGAGAACCTCAAGCTTTGAGACTCATCTTGAATCCTCTAAAAAAGTCCCTGGACTAGCTCCAAAATTCAGGTAATGTGTGCAGAGAGGCAGGAGCATGTATACCATGAGATGCTTTATCTCTAAAGAGATCCATAGAAGTGTGAAGTGTATTTTGGTCTCCTGAGAACTCACCTCTTTGAGCTGGCCGAGAAGGTAAAAGGAACGTGGAATCTGAAAGTTTATCGAGTCCAGAATCCATTCTTTCTACTTCCGAGCAATGATCAGGAGCCCACTTGGGCAGGAGATTAGGGACAGTGAATCCTGGGACACATTCTCCTTCATAGAACCAGTCACTCTGCTCATCATCCCCTAAAGTAAAGAGATTGTTTCATAAGCTGGAATGTTAATATGCTCTATCAAAAACCAAATGTAAGGATGACTTCTCGTGCTATAGGTTTAATTATGCTTTTAAAATCAAGTCAAAGTACAAAAAATTATCTTGAGTCTTCTTGGTCCATATTATAATGAAAACTGGGATATCAAACTAGTTGCACATAAATGTCATCATGTGTTATGCTGGACTGTTTTTAAGAGTAAAAACGAATAAAGCTACCATTTACTAAGCTATTAAGGCTGTATTACCTACCAGGGTCCATGCTAAAAATCTGTAACTATGTTACCTCTTGCAAACCTTACACTAACTCCAACTTACAAATGCGGCAACTCAAGCCCAAAGAAGTCCAGGTCAAGGTCAATAAATGATGAAGGTGGAATTTGAACTCAAAGCCTAACTCACTCCAAATCCTGTACCACAAAAATAAACTGCCTCCCTTGTCCTCTTCTCAGCAGAATAAATGAACTGGGGGATTCAAAACCCACAAATGTTTCTCAATTCAAAACTAGCTTTTCCTAAGGGACTTCTTGCTATATTTGCGTTTCTCATAATAGCTGAATGAAGAATGTATACCCATACCTCGTTTTTTCCTTGGTACTTCATTAATGGGACAGAAAATCATCTTGACACTAACAATCCAAGTTAACAGGAAAAAAATAACTACAGAGACAAATAATATATTCCCTCAAGGCTTGTCAAGAAGTTATACCATTTGCCCAAGGCCATACTTTTCAGTAATGACAAAGTCAAGACTAGACCCATATATCCGTACTCTCGATTCAGACTTCTATTGGCTACAATGGTGACATCTCAGTTTCCAATAGATTTATTCCTGCCAACAAAGAGTAAGACAGATAACTTTAGGTCTGCCACCCACCCCTCTTTCAAAATAGCAAGGATGAAGAAAATTATTACAAGAATATCTAAAGAGTTCATAATGCGTTCATTCTCTAGTGTATACTGGATCCCAGGGAAGCTGCTCAGGACATGACAACCCCATGAATATTCATGGACCACTAACATCAGGATAATAATAACTTATTATTAATAATAACCGTGGAGATCACTAAAAGGAGAAATGAAAGCTGCATATTGGCGAATAGCAGCAGATATTGCCACTAAAGAAGTTACCCAAAGTGTTCCCCTATAAAAACACACCAACAGCTGTTTTTAAAAGAATATATTAAAAGAATATATTTAGCTAAATCATGTATTCTGAGGACAAATGGCAAACTATAATGGAATATTTTTTGGTTCTCGAGCATTCACTCAAGATTTTTGATAGTATGAAAAGGGACTCACTGAACTGGAAGGAAACTTGTGAGGTCATCTAGACCAGTAGTCTTCAACCTGGGTTCACTAGGATGCCTGATGCAGGAGCTCCTCAAAACAACGAGGTCAACTCCCACATGGGATGGTGGCTACACCCACCCGCAACTAAGATTGAACACAGTACCTTTAGCTTAGAGGCCACCAAGCTGCCAATGGGCGGCTGGATGGTGACTGGACTTGGAACTGAGCTAGCTGCATCCTCCACAACTAAGACTGAAGGACAACAACTTAGCTGTTCCCCTTCCCCAATTTCCCAATAAAATCTTTAAAAAGAAAAAAAGAAAAAAAAAAAAAAGAGCGATGCCAGAGAATAAGGAAGAGGCTGAGTAGGTCAGGCTACTGATTTCCTGCTCCTTTGGGATCTTGCTTTAACCAAAATAGGTTTAGCTGTTTTATGATTTGCTCTTCTAGGTACAATTCTGTTTGAAGGGAAAGAAGGAGAATTTTCCCCTGAACTGGGCTTCCCAATAATTATTTATTGATAGCTCACTATATGCCAAGCAATGTGATTACAAAAAAAAAAAATTCCTGCCTTTAAAAGCTTCAAGGGAAAAGACACACACCTACAAATAATGTAATATGGTAAGTGATACGAAAGCAGTAAGTACAGGGAAAGAAGAGAGGAAGCGTTTTAGGAGATGATGCCCACACTGAGTTGTCAGAATCCCTTTAGGAAAAATGGGAGTAACTGAGACTTGAATGAAGTGACTATTTACAAAGTGTAGACAGTATTAAGAGAAAGAAGCCAATAAGGGATGGTGAAGCACCCTGGGGCCAGCCCAGTGGGAAGTCTTTCCCATTACTAGACCTGAAGTAGCAAGGGGAAAGAATGGTTATGCGAGCCCAGAGTGGGAACTGCAGTTATCTAAGGAGCAGTGGCTTTCAGCAGAGGAGCGCAGCCACAGGCAGCCAGCAGTCCAACAGAAAAGGAGCCAGGGAGAGCTGTAATCCAACGTGGGGGCTGCACTGTTTCCACCTCTTCCCTACCTTCATCACATGGGTATAACAGAATGGTACCTCCATGCCCTTTGCCGTGGGGGGCCTCAGAGCCTTCCGCTTGAGGCAGAGCACAATTCCTTATCCCACTGAGCTTAGTCATGTGACTGGCCTTAGGTAGAGGAACATTAGCAGCTGCGGTCCAAGTGAAAGCTTTAAATATTCATGTATGGTCTGGCTTGGTCACTTGGCATTCATGTCCTTTGCCATGAGAAGTCCATGCCACATACAGCCCTTGCTCCTTTAGCCTAGTACCCAGGATAAGATACACCGCGTCAATACAAACCTAACCTGAAGGCTGGACACCAGCTGAGCCCTGATCAGCTGAACCACAGCTAACACCTAGTCCCACAGCAAGAAATAAATGTGGTAAACACTGCCAATTTGGGGTTGTTAAACAGTATTACCATAATTAAAACTGGACTATTACACCCAATCTCACTCACCTCCCTCCCTCCATTCTTCTGCTGATGCCTACGATTGGCCGAACCCAACAAGAAATTGAGAGCAAGAAAACCCACTGATGTTGTCCACAGATATGCCCTGGAGGGGCAGAAGGAGAACTGTGTCTCAGTGGGTGACCAGCCATTCAAGGAAAAAAAAGATGGGATTTCAAGCAGAGGCCAGCATAAACAAAGAGATACGGAAGCAGCAAATAACACAGCTTTGTGCTGAGAACCTAAGCATCTACAGTATCGCCAGAATGTATGAAGTGGAGACAGACACAAAGAGGAAAGCTGGGGCTACAGAATATTCCACAATCTTCTATGAGAAACCAAGGATTCCTTCTCAGTGGAAAGGTTTTCCAAGGGCCCAAAACTTAATCTGTTGTAACAGGTCCACACTTTCTTACACCTCTGCATAATTATGCCTCATAACCTTTAAGAGGTGCAATATGATACTTCACAGAACTGTAGTAAAAGCAAAGAAAAAGAGCAAATATTATAATTCTGAACAGTATGCACCAGTCTGTTCATACCAGACTTTCCTGGTATGAGGTAAGAGAATCAAGACCCTGGCTAGAGCCTACCTGTGAGTATACACACACACACACACACACAACCTCTAATGACACCGAGCTCCCACCGAATCAGAAAGGGACAGAAATGTACTCCCACTTCCATAGAGTAGGAAGCTTCACAACTCCATCCAGGCTCACTACTCTGAGGCACGGCTGAGACACCTCCCCATGGTCTCCCTCTAAAATCAGGACTTGGATCCTGGGTCTCACAGTCCCAGGATCCTGAGTTACTAGGGAGCCTATCGAATCAACCTAGACATGTACCCACCACACCTCTGTCCTTCAATCACTTACTCCTTGGAGAAAAATCATTGGAGCAGAGACTTTAGCGCTCTACAAATCCCTTATTTAAAGTAAGAAAACTACAGTCCAAAGGAGCGACATGAAATTCATATTGGTACATAATTAGTGTAGCCCTAAGCAAGTATACAAGACAGGAACAAAGTTTCAAATTACTATTTAGGTAGTAAAACTAAAGAACTGATAATTAACATACACCAGCCTTATTCCCAGTGCTCTATGCTAAACTTCAGGAGTTTTAACTTTAGAAAGATGTTTTCTACAATATATTCATCCAGAATGCTGGGATCATTTATAAATAAGGTTACAAAAATAAATTCTCCCTATGGGAAAATAAGAATGTCTTAACATCCAAAAAAGAGAGTCATACATGAGGATATTTTTTTTGGTACTAATACAAAGCAACTTCCCAAAGTCCCATCCTTGACACTATAACGCCCTAGATCAGGATTCTCAAAGTCTGAACCACCTGCATAAAAATCACCACAGGTGCTTGTGAAAAATGCAGATTCCAGGGGCCAACTCTAGACCTATTTGATTTCTAGGAGCTCAGAAAACCTGCAGTGTTAACAGTTCCCCAGGTGGTTCTTACACACCCTAAACTTTGAGAACCACTGCCACAGGCAACCATCATATTCACAGTGAGTCACTCCTATAATCCTTGCAACCCTTCCAGAGACACTGAACCAACATCCCAAAGCTGGGATCAAGATTACCTTGCCGTCCTTCATCATTTGTGAAGAGCCCTGTGTCACTGCTGCTACACACACTGCTGGTTTCACTGGAAAAAAAAAAAAAAGATTGAAACATGAGAACACATCAGTTCCTGTCAAAAAAAAAACAAAAACAAAACAAAGCACTGTCCATTCTTTTCCTGGTTTTCAAATGAAAAGATCCCCAGTTTCCATAATTTCACTAGCCAATCAGAAATGTAAATTTCATGGTTAAGTCATACGGGAAAGTTTATTTTCCCCCCAAGCAAAGGAAATGTAAGAAGAGAATTCAAAAACTTTTATTTATATTTCAAAGTACTCTTAAAATATCTGAAGTCATTGTGTCAGTTTTGCATTAGAAAGTTATTTATTAAGGCTCACAGAAGTAACCTCAGCCTAGTTTGGTATATCAAACAACATAAATTCACCAATTTACCAACCAATTTTATTCCTAAATATTGCCAACTATCAGTTTCAAATGAAGCCATCCAACTTTAAGAGATTTAGCATCTCTCTAGTTTTTCCCCCCCATTTATAAAGCAGCAAACACAAATCCATAAACAGGAAAAAAGTCAGTATGACAAGTTATATTTTCTAAATTTAATATCTTCCTTGATATCAAGTGGCTACAACAAAATTCATTTTTTAAAAGAAAATTAAGATTAAATATAAAACTATAAAAACAAACTCCATTTGAACTCTGAAGTAAAACGTTTGCCCCATAGAATTCTGTCTGGTAAGCTTCAATTTCTGACTACTGCTAACAATTGATTCTGCCTCTTACTCAGGCTGCCATTTCTTTCACCTAATCTTCATCAAATTTGATTTATCTGGTTCAAAAATTTTTTCTCTGTTCTTTAAAATATTAGTTGTTTCCTTCATTGGGAGTGTTTCCTTCTAAGCTAGTCCATTTTTTTTTTTCACCTGCTCTAGAAGATAGAAGAAACCAAAGCAAGGAAGAAACATTCTCATCATGCTGCATAAGGAAGAGGCTTAGCAAAATCCTAGTATATGTTTCTGGATCAACAATCTGAAAATATTTTATACTTTGCCACACATCCAAATACCTTGCCGACACTAAATCCTAAAAATGTTGGTTAAATTAAGTAGAAATGCTTTCCTCACTTAAGCTCGTCTTTGAATAAATCCAAGAGACTTGTTGCAGCAAGAGCCAATAAGACATACCCAATTTCTTTAAAGGTTCTTTCATTGTATTTTCTACTGTCCTTGTAAAAGGGAACATTCAGAGGTGTCACTGTAGAAATGCTATACACAACTATATCCCTGGATTCCGCTGCATTTAGAATTTTCAAAAAGCTCTGCAGTTAAATCCAGAAGACAGGTCACCGAGTACTACATTCTTCTGGCTTCGGAGTTCAAAGAACCATGCCTCCTGAACTTAATGGTTTTGTTTTTGTATTTTTAGCAAATTCCTAAGAATATTAGAGGTCTAATTCCATTAAGTTACTACACATCCTCTCATATTACTACTTTATTATTCTCATCTTACCTTGAATATAAAGCAAATTTTATATTGTTTAACTCGTCTTGAGATGAAGAAAGGCTTAAAAAGCACATTAGGGGGCCGGCCGAGTGGCGCTATGGTTAAGAACTGGCTTGGGACGCCAGAGGGCCCCGGTTCGGATCCCACATATGAGGGCCAGTGACACTGCCCTCCACAGCTAAGATGCTGAACAACAGCTCAACCTGGAGCTGGGCTGCCGTGAGTCGCCGGCGACAGCAGAGGCTGCAGCCCCTGTGGCAGTGGGTTGCCATGGGCTGCCGTGTGTAGCCAGCAGCCAGCGTGAGCGGCCAGCAGCCGCAGTGAGCGGCCGTCCAGAAGCCGGTGACTGATCTGCCTCGCCTGGGAAGAGCGCAATGATGGTGCCAACTTGGGCCAGTGAAGCAACGTCCTCAACAACTAGACTGAAGAACAAAAACGACAGCAACTTGTCTGTTCCCCTTCCCCCAATTCCCCAGCACTGTTCCCATCCCCCCAATTCCCCAACAAAAATCTTTAAAAAACAAAAACAAAAACAAACAAACAAAAAAAAGCACATTAGGCCATGGGACAGATATTCTACTGCACCATCATGTTATAGGCTTTATTGGTTAGCAATTGTCACTAGCTGAGATTTAGGGGTCAACAAGCAATAGCCAGTCACCTATTTTTGTATGGCCTGTGAGTTACGAATGGTTTTTACTCCATTTTAAATCCATGAGGGGAAAAGAATCAAAGGAAGAATATTTTGTGACATGTGGAAATAAGATGAAATTCAAATTTCAGTGTCCATAAATAAAGTTTTATTGGAATACAGCCATACTCTTGCATTTATATATCATCTATATCTTCTTTCATACCACAACTGCAAAGTAGAGTGGTTGCAACAGAGACCATATAGCCCACAAAGCCCTAAAATATTTACCATCTGGCTCTTTACAGAGGAAGTTTGATGATCCCTGCTCTACATGTATTACAAGTTCACTCTGCAATATTTATGGTCCCCTCTGAATATTTCCAATTAAAAAATTAAAACTGTTGCTTTATTACAAAGTCTATCAATTCTTTTCCCCATTCACTTCCAGCTACTGGTAGGCACTACAAGATCCAGTGCTTTCTCGATCTTTTTTTTTTCCATGGATTACATTCTCTCCGCATAGTCTAAATAAAGGGGGCAAGGTCAAAGAAATCTGCTGGATCAAAAAAGGTGTTGGTAACCTAAAACCTTCCTGTCACTGCACATATTCTATTTTTGTCAACAGCATTTAAGGATATTCACTGTTCTTGAAAGAGCTTGGACTAATCTCTTCCATAAATTTCCTATATATGAGGTGTGATCAACAAATATGGTGAATGTTTAAATTTTAAAAAATTTATTACAGAAGACACATTGCCATGAATCCCCCTCACTTCGAAGACACATATCCTGTTCTTGCCACTTTCTGAAGCAGTTCTGAAAGTCCTCTTTCATGAGTGTCTTTAGTTGTGCTGTCATGGCTGCCTCGATGTCCTGAATCATTTTGACTTTGGGGAAGAGCCAGAAGTCACACGGTGCCAAATTCGATGAAAAAGGTTGATGAGGGCACACTGTAATGTTTTTATTTGACAGAAATTGCCTATCAGAAGTGATGTGTGACACAGAAGGTTGTCATCATGGAGAATGAAGTAAGGACACTCACGAAAGAGGACTTTCAGAACTGCTTCAGAAAGAGGCAAGAACGATGGGATAAGTATGTTCGAAGCGAGGGGGAGTATTTTAAGGGAGATTAATGGCAATGTGTCTTCTACTATAATAAATTTTTTTAATTTAAACATTCACCATATATTTTGATCACACCTCGTATAATTAATTAGAGTACAGCAATGATGTCACAGAACTATCACCAGGATTTTAAGATTATGATCAAGGGAGGTATGTATTTTCTTCAGAGAAAATAATTTATGTCTTACAGAACACTTATTACATAGAAGTATCATCATTCTACCAGTACCTGGAAATGACAATTTCATCTGATTACATTTGCTAATTCTATTTATTCCCTCAGAAGAACCTGCATTGTAGAAATCTAATCATATGTAAGAAACTGTTAGCATAATTTACTGAGGAAAAAAACAGGAACTTCATGGCATGTTTGCACATAAACATTATGATGAAGCATGCAAATATGCAGTGCTAGCTATAAACAAGAAGCAAGTATTTCTCCTTCCAAGTTACAAGCCAAAGTTGTCCAGTTCTGCAGCCTTCCTTCACATCTGGCTCAGAGATTACAATTTAAAAAGAAAATCAGGGGCCGGCCGAGTGGCTCAGTTGGTTAAGAGCTCGAGCTCTGAGCAACAGGGTCGCCAGTTCGATTCCCACATGGGCCAGTGAGCTGCGCCCGAGCTGAGCTGCCGCTGAGCTGCCAACAGGTGGCAGGATGGTTCAGCTGGTGAGAGCACGTGGTGCTAACAACAAGGCTGCTGGTTCGACTGCCGCATGGGATGGCAGCCCCTCCCCCGCCCCCCACAACTAAGATTGAACACGGCACCTTGAGCTGAGTGGCAGTGAGCTGCCGACAGGAGGCTGGATAGTGACTGGACGTGGAGCTGAGCTAGCTGTGCCCTTCACAACTAAGAATGAAGGACAACAACTTGGCTGTTCCCCTTCCCCAATAAAATCTTTTAAAAAAGAAAAAAGAAAATCAGATTAGCAAGATTTCAATGATTTAATCAGCTATAAAATGTTAATATCAATTAAACAGAATATTTAATATCCTGTGAAAAATAAGCTCTTATCTCTCAATAAAGACAATTTTCTTTTAGCACCTTTGCAGATCACGAGGTCAAAAAGTTAAAAGATGTCAGGCTCCTACAAATTTTTCCTATTCCAAAACCTTCAAATTTATTATTCTTTTGCTTTGAGCCTTTTTACTATGAAAGGAAAAAAGCTCTATTCTTCATTTTTATAAGAAAAAAATGCAATCCTACCTCTAGTGTCCACTCCACTTGTGATCCTCTGGAGCTTAGTCAGGAAGACAAAACCCAGCCTTTATTAATCTTCAGAAAAAGATAACAGGTAATGAAACCTTGTCTTGTCCTAAAATGGTAGCAACTCCTAGAGGCATCAATGCCTCCTGTCTTTGCCTAGGGAGCTGTTCCGTACTTCCTGTTTTTATATGATTCTAATCTATGACTAGCTTACATACAAAAATCTTCCTAGAATACTTCTAAAATATTTTAGAGCAGAAATGCATTAACTCCACAAATAATTCATACATTATTCAAAAGAATTCAATCCCAAACTGGGCCAATAAAAAGTCTCTAACAGGAAGAGGAAGGATTTCTGACCGCCTTCGCCCATGTCTCCTAAACTTCCACTCATTCACTTAGTAAGAATTTATTAAGTATTTGCTACGTACCAGACACTATTATAACCAGCACTAAAACTAAAACAGAAACATGTTGATCACAATTTAAATGCATGCATTTTATTAAAAACTTAGTCTAGACTATGGGAGAAGGATGTGAAAAGGTTGAGAGAAGAATACTTTCTAATGAAGAATATAATGCAAAATAAGGGGTGGTGCA